GCAGTTTGAAGTTGGTTGCAGTTTTTTCATCTCACCCTGTATATATATATATTATAGAGTACCTTTTGGGCGTGCAGAATTATTTTCATAAGAAAATGTTCAGTTGCTAAAAACCCTAAATGACATAACCCTTATAAAAATGTGTTCAAACCCAACAAAATACGGAATATAGGTCAGTATTTTCATATGGAGACTAATGAAAATTATTACCTTTATAAAAAATTTTATAAAATATCGGGACCTTCCTTTACATGAAGTCCATATAGATAATTTGCTCCCAGAAGGGTTGGGACCCATTATGATTTTTAAAAACCCAATTTAAAAAGAGTCCCATTTAAAAATATGTCTTAAATCATCAAATCAGTGAATATCGGGAGGTAACGAGGTATGTGGACTAGTCGAAAACATAAACCTATATAAACAAAATCTTACAAGAGTGAATGGCCAAACAGAATTTTTCCAAGTGGTTAATAATGCCTGAATTATATTTGAAAATATTATAGGGATCTTGTCAGTTTTTTCCGCATTGAGGTCTATAACCGACTAAAAAACTAAGGCCAGTGGAAATACAACAAAAATTAAGAAAATACAAAGCCGGTGGTCGAGCTTGACGGGCGATTATTGATTGTCCCTTGGAAACAGTTGAGGAAGTACTTAATTTCTATAACATGTTCATTTTAAAATATGGGATTAGTTGTCTATCTTGTAAATAAAAACTGATGCAAAAATGTACTTATAAACCCATTATTTGGTAAAGTGATTATTTGGTATGTAAATATATTTAACTGAGCGGAATAAATTACAAAACGTATACCTAAATAGATAACAATGTTTGTAATTTTTTACATCATTAAAAAAACACCCTATCTCCCATTTGCTCCAATGGCATGCCTTTTTTTATGGGTGTCCAAAGATGTAGCCAAAAAAGGCATTATAAACCACTGTACGTTGAATAGCGTGGGATTATTTTTTATTTATGTTTAGTCTACAATTGCAAGAGTTCGGTAAACATTTGAATAAGCATCATATTGAAACCTCATTTTCACATATGACTCAAATATCTTCTTCTCAAAGAGTTTGAAAGTCTTGAATTCATTTTATTATTTTTGTGATTCCATTTAAACCCCAATGTTATTATACGCTATAGATAATTTAAAGAGGGTGATTTCTTATCATCAATTCTTTTCACTAAATTTACAGTCACAACACTACTTCCTTTTGTCTTCAGAGTTAATGTTTGTGGCTCTCTCCCCTTTTAGTTGGGAGTACTTGTCGTCAAGAATTTTAAAATGAAGGAGAAAAAAAGAACATATTCACGCTGATACAGTTCATTAACTTTTTGCGATAAATTTCGTTGGTTTGGCTTGTGTTAAATTCAACTTTGCCAAGCCAATACCGATTCATTGTGTATTTATCTACTGAAAGTAGCGGATGAGCGGGCATTGGGTTCGTAGTATCATACCGCCATCGACAGTGCCACTATTTGCCACTGCTACTTAAATTTAGCACCACAATTTTATATTGACTCACATTTTGGTTCGGTGTGTCTGTGTGCCATGCCGGAGAATTACAATGCACAAGAAGTAAAAAAAGTCTACAAAATGATAAACAATTGGGGGGAAGGGAAGCCCAAATTATAAAATATTGCGGAAAAGTTTTTTTTTAAATTTTTTTTTGTGTTATCATTTGTTTTATGTAAATGACTAAGAATTTAAATATAAATATTTGTATGTGCCAATTGATAAATTTAATATTTGTCACATTTTAATTGGAAAAGTGAACCAGTTACTGATTATGGAGAACAGTTGAGATAGGTGGTGTTCTGAAGAATACATTCTAAGGGTATTTACCATGTAATACCGCAACAATGAATCTGAAAGCGTTTACACTTGCGAAATACTTGAATATTATTAAAGATGTCACAGCCCAGGAAAGTACACAGGAATGACTATCGAAGCCATTTAGGGAGCTCAACTGGTGGAAAACTAAATTATCCAAATAAAAAGTACAAAATCGTAACCATAATATAGCAAATATTCCGGGGTTGGTGTCCTTAGAGTCGTCCCCGGGGTGAGTCCCTGTCACGGCTATTTAAACTAAACCTCTGGATGGGCCACACTTCCCTTTTGAGACTATCGTCATTTCTTGCCGTTGTAAACAGAAACAAGACACAAAACATTGATGTGTATCTCATGTCTTCTTAGTGTGAAATATGCCAATAACAATTAAAAATATTATAATTCTTCATAGTTAGATATTAAAAAAAAAAAACAACAACAACTACCATTAGTGCATTTCATACCACCACAATCTACCACTTACGACAATTACCATAAATGTACACATTAATAACTGACGAGAATCGAAACAAAATCTGACGTCAAATCGTCTAATGTATACACTTACATTATTGCGGTTTCTAAAGTCGGCCTTAAAGGTCGTTGTACTTGGCACTGCTGCAGTGACCTCAAATGGATGAATAAACGCATACCTATCTATAATTGCACCGAAGAAGCAAATGTGTGCCTGTGTCTGTTGTGGTGTTACAATCAAATTAGCCAAATGTTTTTATTAGGTTTAAAATTTGAACATACCAAAAGTTGGTTATGAAAAATGAAATTTGTGAAAAGTATATCAATATTCTCAGCTCAATGTAATTGTTAGCTACTGACAATTTCAAGATGGGTTTCTTCTTATCATCAATTAATTGTATTTAATTCATAGTCACCTCACTATTTCCTTTTGTATTCAGAGTTAATGTTGTAGTACCCGTTCCTTTAAGCTGGAGTACGTGTGGAGAAGAATTTTAAAGAGGAGAAGAAAGTAACAAAATATTCGTGCTGATACAGTTCATTGTCATATTTTAGTTTTGCTTGAACAACAATTTACCCACAAGAAAAAGCCGGAATTGTTAGGAAGAAATTAAAAATTATATGCAAGTTATCGTAATTGAAAAAAAAAACGCAAAAATTATACGAAAATGGTTTTAAGTTCGAACTGTTTGCAGGGACGTAATCAGGAATGCATTTCGAAACCTTGTCGGGAAATTCCAATCATTTTCTATACAAAATTTACGAAGAATGGCCGCACCACGATAAGGTCCCTGGATGTGAGGACAAGTTAGTGAATATCACTCAAGAGTTGAAGAAAATCCAGGTTTGTACATTCCTCCTCGTTCTTTTAATGTAGACTTGGGACTAAGTTTCAGAATAAATTACAAAATTAATTTCGGCTATAAATGGCTATCTTTTTCATAAATGAACGAAGAAAGTTAGGATGACTTAAATGTCAATTAAATATCGACCTCCAATGTTATTTTTTTAATTTAAGCCAGACAAAAATCCTCTTATGTATTCTCACACTTAGGGCTTATAAGATTTAGTTTAAACAGATCTAAGCCGGCCGATCATCAAGATCCTCGTGTCCTTTACCGTCTTAGCCAGAAATGCTTTTCGAACTCATTTCGGAGGGGACCAGACGGCAGAAAATGAGATATTCAAGCAGAATTCCCAGAAATGTGGATAATTTTATACTTTCTGGGGGACCGGACCCCCTATGCCCCAACCCTGGCTACCTCGGTGGTGTCTTTTATAATTGGATACTTGGGTCATCCTGACTGATGAGATCCATTTCCATATTGTTGCCTATATCAAAAAGCAAAAATGTACCATCTGGAGCTCGGAAACCGAAAAGCAATTATCAAAAAGCCTACTATTTGATGTGGTTTGATGTCCGGCGGGGTCAATGGACTTTGTGTTTTCGAAAATAAGGTTGGATCAACAGTTACAGTAAATGGGTCACGCTATTGAGAGCAATTTATCATTTCTTACGCCAAGATGGTTTGATGGTAAAAAAATGAAACCATCGCGCTTTTACTGGAAAAGTTTCCGGATTCTGTTTCTCTAGAGAACTGATCACAATGATATAGGGTCGATTCAAACCTTAAAGTTAGCTATCGAGGACCCAGGGCAGCCACTTTGCGGCTTGGTTATGCAAAATTGCATTTGCGCCTATAAGTGTTTGCTCGTGGTGGCCATTATGAAATAAACATCTAATCTTATTAATCTGTGGTTTGTAACGAGATTATCAAGTATTAACAATCTGCATACATTTGGTATTTGTAGTTTGTAATGAGTCATCCTTCTATATGCTAACGTTGTCTATATATGACCATGTTTTCCTATTGCCCCCAAAAAGCTGTACCTCCCGAAATTCGCTATTTTATTGATTTCCACAGAATAGTTTCAAATAGTATTTAAAACTCGCATATAGCGATAAAGCCCACATTTTGGAATTTTAACGACATCAACTGCATTCTCTAACCATCTTGCACATTTTCCAGGATTCGGCATCGTACACCATTACCAACTTCGTCGGAATATACGATTGTCTCTCTAACATTGTCATTCAGAGATTAGGTTTATATTTGTAACAACACTCATAATCTCTTCAACGAAAAATATCTGAATGGATGTAGTTTTCTTTGTACTCCCCACCGCTACAACCAAACCCGTAATAGCTGTATTTGTAGCGATTCCGCCTAATCGTGTGTCATTCAAGATATGTTTTACAAACCCATACACTGTTGGGTCTATAGTGGTTCAAGTATCTTTTCCTTTTTACTATTCGTTAGCTATTGTTTCTGATACAAATTCAAATATTCTACGGATACCCCTGTAGTAATTTATGGATTCCAAGCTCTAAATATATTGTCATTGTGGACTTTTACTAAAAATTGGCAAAAGATTCAAAATTTCATGTTGAATTATATTAGAATTCACATTCAATGGCAACGAGACATGAACAAACGTCAAACCCAGTCAATGATATCATACGTCATACAAATATTTGGAGCCTGACTAACTTATATTGTGGAAAGCAGCCTCCATATAGGCATATCACGCCTATGATTTGCCTATTTTCGATGTGTGCAATTTTACCTAAAATTAACTAGCAAAGGAGCTCATAGGATAGTTGTAAAAAAGCAAATAGAAACAAACCTTTTCAGACATGACCATGTTGTTGTCATCGGTGCCGTAAACGGTCTCAGCACCAGGCTGAGGACCACGATTATTGAGTAATGTGTCGTCGTTATCCATGTTGTAATGTTTTCTTGTTTCTTCTATTTTTGTTGCAAATCCTTAAATCCTTCACTTGTTTCAACAGCGATGCCACGGCCGACGACGACGAAGAGCCAATAAAAATAACACACTCTCCTTCTCTCACCAACAATTAATTTGTCATGCGAGGACACTCTCAGTTATGTACGGAGGGGGGTATATGTCAAATTTTTGTCGCCGGAGTATGAGGATAACGACATGGAAGTGGTGAAGTGATGTCGAGAACGAAGGATAATGGTTGAGAAACACAATCACGCACTCACTCTCGTCGAACGTACACACGCACCAGCAAGTGTCAAGTGAGAGGGGGTTTTACAACCCCTTATAATTTGTATGCTACTCCTCTCTCTGGCTCTTTTCCTCTCTCTCTCTCTCACTGGTAGCACTTCACTTAGATTTTCTTCACTACATATGGTTGGTTATGCTTATATACAATATTTAATTTCTTATTGAAGAGGATATATTTCCCACTAGAATGAAACAATCAATTTCCTTTTGTTAAGCAACATTATTCACTTTTCTTTCTATCTCTCTTTTCAATTTTAATCTCACTTCAATTAATTAGGATTTTTCTTTTTTTGTGTCATATTTTTGAAATTTCATAAACACATCATTTTTGTTTTTATGTACTTCTTGTTTTGCTGACGAAATATTTAACAAATTTGTTTGTTGTTATTGCTTTTTTGTGTGTTGTTTTTCTTTTTATTTTAATTCAAGGTAGTCGTCGCCTAAAAGATAGATTTTTTCACTCGTTTTACTGGCTGGCTGCTTGCTGCTGGTCGTTGTTGTTGGTAGGTAGGTCGGTCGTTTTGAATAAGAAACAAGGAAATAATTTGTAATGACTAGATAGATTTGATTATTAGATTTTTCATTGGCCAATTTATGCCTCATGAAATTTATATTTCAGCACACCAATATTGCACTTTGGTAGGGCATCACTTGAATTGGGTGTTTAAAACACTTTCATATTGATTTATTCCATTTTAATAGGAGTATTTTAGAAAAATTTTTACAAAAAAATTTTTGCTAAGCGAAACGCGTATTATGACGTGAAAATTTTCTTGGTGTGTAATGAATGAAGAAAAAAGAACTGAGTCGCGGACTGAGAGAGTGCAAAGCGGAGAGCATAAAATTCAATTTTGACATATGACATTTTGTGGCGTTTGTTTGCCAGCTGTTAAATTACGACGCGGCGTATGGGGAAGGTAGACTTTGGATAACGTAAAACGTAAACATAAAACATACAGTGGGGGATAAAGATTAAAACATTTATAGAAGATTGTAGAGATACTATTCATATTACAACCAGCAAATTTATATTTTTTATGTTGTCCAAAATAGTTAATAAACTAAATTAATAAAATACTAAACACATAAATAAATAATAATACAACCACCAAATAATAATAATAATATCCAATCCACTAAATGGTGGAAGATTTAAATTATTCTTCCCGGTAGAATTTGCCCTGAAGGCGTCATTTTCAACTTGCCATTCCATTTTTAAAACCTAGAAATATTTCTCGGAGAGCATATCAAGCATGTATTCTTCATCAGCATGAAACCAAGCCTGTCTGCCAGCTGGATAATATAAAGTAGTTTGTTTTGAGGGTTTCACAATAATTTCCCACCTAATAAGGTTTAGTGCGACATTTCACGTTTATAATTTTAATTTTACCGATATTTGTCGGTTACTCAAAAAATGTGTTAGAGAATCTCACTACTCTTCTAAGTATTTTAACAACATTCTAAAAAATTTAATTTTCTTTATTAATACAACATAAATGATTCTGTACTGCTTCATTTGGGTCAAAAAAAATAATAATATATTTCGTTCCTATATCTCCAAAATATTAAAAATACTTCCAAGAATTCTTCTTTACCCAACTTTTTACGACTGCTTCATAGTCGTACCACAGCATTGTAAACTTCTTTCAGTCAAACTTACTCATTTTTCAATATCTGTTTTGGGTTCTATATTTTGGTGGGTAGTTATTATTTAGGTATGAATCTAAAAACGATCCTGACCGGGTTGTGGGTACAATCTTCCCTTAGTGCCTGGCATATTTCCATGCTAAGATATAGCGAGTTTCTAGCATTTTTAACCAGGGGCGCTAGAGCCCCACAATGTATATCAATGTGAGTCTTAGGTCAGCCTTGGTTGATCTTACAATATTTAAATCGATCTCCAAGGAAGCTATCCTACTTAAGTCACAACATTAAATACGTGTTAGTGCATGGTAGAAGAATATAGGTAGACGCGTCGACACAGATGATGGGACAATAAACTTTCAAACCAATTTTGGAATTGAAAATGTTGAATGAAAAATTATTTAAATTTGTAACAATTGTTGAAAAACGCGAATTATAATTGCCTCCGAATGACGTAGTATAAGAAAACATATAAAAATCTACTTATATTTAGTGAGTGAAAAAACATTCTTTTTTTTTTTTGACGTATCAATGCTCCCAAGCGTTGATGCATCTACCTGTATTCTTCTGCCATGTGTCAGTGTAAGAATTTTCTAAAGTCCTTAAAGACTAAGGATATATTCCAACAGATATACTGATAATATTGCAATAATTGCGGGTTTAAGGTTTTTGTTTTTAACATTAACTTTTATTCACTCCTTGAATTTACAAATCCCTTAGCCCAACTTAACATTCCCCAACACCTTTCCATTAATAACTCATCACTCTTTTCTTCTTTTAATTTTACACATTTTGTTTTCATTAGTTTTTATTCTATATTGGTAAAAACTTAAAAAAAAATCATTTCATGGAAATGTTTTACAAATTAACATTTCTCTGGCGGAGTTTAAATAAGAAAAAGAATAAAATAAAAAAACATATTTTTTGCAAATGCTGTTTTGTTGATATTCCTAGGTATACAATTTCCATACAGATAATATGGAAATAAATTTAAATAAAAAACACATGAATCCCAACAAGTGATAGCCGCGGATGGGTGGTAAACAGAGCTAACATTTTTAAAATGTTATTTAAACTAAATGATATTTACACTTCTACTCTGTGCCCATTGTCCATGCCGTTGGCGGATCACCTTCCCATAAAGTCTTCTTCTTAATTAATTCGTGTTCAATGAATTAATTCACTAAGTTACTTCTAAGTGTTTAAAGCATGTTATGTTCGTGTATGTGTGTTTTTGTTAATGTTTATAATGTTGGTGACGAGTTGTTGCTGTTTGTTGTTGGTGGTTATATGGTGCTTTTGGTTGTCATCACTCCTCATCCATCATCAATGAACTATTCCTTCGATGCCATATGACCCATCAAATTCCCCGTGAATTTTTCAATTTTCTTCAAATCAGGCATATTTTCAGCTTTATATTGAATGCACTGGAATAAAAAAAGGCATATCATACACCATGCTATATTGTACATTTGCATGTTTCTTACCTTGACGTTGTCGGTCAATTTCAGCAATATGTGACCCTTGTTGTGAACATATTTCATTGTGTAGCGACAAGTCCCTGGATTGGCCATGTACATATTTTCGGCAGCGATTTCAAAGTCTTCCCAACTTTTTACGAAAACCATGGCTTTTGTGGAATATTTTCAAAATTGGGTGAGAAATGAATACAACAATTGAGGGATTTGCGAAAGTGAAATTAAATCAAAGAACTGGGATTTTTGTCGTCGTGTTGCTTAAATTTGTCAAATTTTTGACACTTTGTTTTGTGCTTGTCATACGTGTCGACTTTCGATAAATCAGTTATAAGGAGAAGTAATCGATAGCACGAGTAGTGTTAAATGATTAAAAGGGTTGCCATCGCCATAGTAATATTATGAACCCTCGAAATGTATGCCATGTTCTTTGCAGTTTCCATGGTAGAAGAATATAGGTAGACGCGTCGACACAGCTGCTGGGACAATGAACTGTCAAACCAATTTTGGAATTGAAAATGTTGAATGAAAATTTGTTAAAAATTAAAATTAAATTAAATTTGTTAAAAATGTTGAAAAAACGCGAATTATAATAGTCTTCGAATGATGTAGTATAAGAAAACATATAAAAATCTACTTATATTTGAAAAAACTTTTGAATTTTATTGACATATCAATGCTCCCAAGCGTTGATGCATCTACCTGTATTCTTCTGTCATGGCGGTTTCAATCACGTTGTTCGCTCTCAGAAATAGGTACACAATTAACCCGTAATTCGTAATTCATGCATGTCCAACAACCAAGCTAAAATAATCTGCAGCGAAATTCTCTGCCGACAAAAGGCGGAAAATTAGAATGCCTATAATCTCGGTAAATTTGTCGGTAAGTCAGCGACGAAGTCAAAGTAATCGCTAAGACCTAACGATAGATACCGATTTTTGTCGGTAACTCAAAAAATGATTTAGAGAATCCAACTATTGGTCTCACTCTTGACTTCAAGAGAAATATGCTAAAAACAGAATGAAATCGTTGGGTCATTATGCGCGTCAAGTTTTTTATCGAAAAATTATAAACCTCAGGAATAATGATTTGTTGAACCTCTATCTGTGGTTGTTTTTTTTTTTTTTCTTATCGATCAACGCGTTTGTGTTTAGTCCTTTAAGAACGGGAAAATATACGGCCAATACTAAGTAGATTAATGCTTTAATGTTAAAAAAAAGAATGTTGTCCGAATGAATTTGCAATCAAATTAACTTTTATTTCATAGCAGGTATTGTTAAGATTTTGCCAGTACTTTTCAGCCGTTTATTCTGGGGGTTTGATCCTGAAAATGAAATTTCATTCGAGGACTACACAAGAACTAATAGCATCGAGAATATTTCCGTATGATGGAGAGTTTAAAATCTCTATTTTTATATGTTTCAGTTTACTACATGGAAAAAAAAAATTCGACTTCCTTAGATGTGGAATATATAACCGTTTCTACACGGAAAATAATAGATTGTGGCCGGTTATCACATTTTCCAAAAGATGATGTTGGACAAATAAATCGTTTTTCGTTATTACAAATTTCATTTAAGTATACACTGGCCGATAAGCAAAAAGTCAGACCATCAATGATTACTAATTAAATTTCCACACCTCTGAAAAAAATGCATATATTTTAAAGCAAAGCTGTAAAAATGAAAATCCGATAATGTGAACTCTTTCCCTTTTACCTTTTCCTTAAGTAAGGGATAACCATGGTACAATGATATCAAGGTAGGGCTATGATACCATATGATTTCAATTTTTTTATTTTCTTGGCTTAATATGTCATCTTTATTTGTTTATGTATGTGTTTTCTTTTCAATAACAAAAGAATTGTTCACAAAACATTCAAATTCGGATGTTTTCAAAATGTTTATTTCATCGTATGCATCGACAAAATCTAGAGTTTTTGTAGCGAAATAATCCTTTAGAGATATATAGAACCTGGTTTTGAAAAGAAATGTTGACCTTTCATTCAGTTTTCGCGGTTTTCATTTATTTATTTAAAATAAATTCAACAAGTTGTTTGATTTTGTTATTGTTTTGATACTAATTCTGACATTACAAGCCAAACAGGTAGACCTCTATACTTGCAATTATTTCAAAGTTGGCCTACCTTCTCTTCATTGTATCATGGAGATAACATTATAAAGAAAAGATATAAGATATGGTTCTATATCATCTTTGTAAAACACGCCATGCGTCATACATAAATATTTCAGATATAAAATTAAATGTTATTTGAACACGTTAAAAAGTATCGGTCGGTTTTGCCGACAGATGTTAATTTCGCGTTTTATGAACTTCATGGATAGTCAAAATTGTGACTTTTTGTGGGTTAATAAAAATATTGTGATGTGTGAAATATGAAGAGAATCGGATGCTAATTTTGGATTTAATAATCGTTTTGGTTATTCAAAATTTTGAACCTTTGTGGAGGTGGCACAAAAAAGAATGGCCCGATCTTTGTGTGTTGTTAGAAATATTGAGATTTGTCAAATCTGAATGGAATCGGATGTTAATTTCGCGTTCAAAAATTTGACCCTTTGTGGGGGAGGTACCAGAAGGAATGGATCGATTTGCCCATCTCCGAACTCGATGTAAGTTTGATAATAATATTACGATATATCAAGTTTAGACCAAATCGGATACTCCCTTCGAGAGTTAATGTGCGCACCAGCCAGCAGACAAATGATATATACCCTCTCTAGCCATATGGCTGAGGGTATAAAAATGACAAGGTCGAGTACTTCAACATTTTACAAAACAATTTTTGTTAAAATAAACATAATTATTGTATATTTTTAGGACAGACCATGGTAGAAGAATATCGGTAGACGCGTCGACACAGCTGCTGGGATAATGAATTCTCAAACCAATTTGGAATTGAAAATGTTGAATGAAAAATTATTTAAATTTGTAAAAATTGTTGAAAAACGTGAATTATAATAGCCTCCGAATGACGTAGTATAACAAACATATACAAATCTACTTATATTTGAAAAAAAAAAAACATTTAAATTTTGTTGACATATCAATGCTCCCTGGCGTTGATGCATCTACCTGTATTCTTCTGCCATGGGACAGACAAACAGGATGAGATAAAATAAATCGAATCGATAAATCGAATACATCCCTTGTTTTGACGTTAGAATACTTGTCATATATGTTGCCAATAAAATTGTGGTAGTTAATACGCAATTCAATAGATGGCGCACATGGGATTTAGAACACCAGTTTATAGATGGAGCTTTTAGGCGAATTCAGAAATTTCAAGTGTTATCCAAATTTTGGTTCAGCAAAGTTTGTTGTCGAATAAGGAAATAATAAAACCAGTAAAGAAAGTCCTAAAGTCGGGCGGGGCCGATTTTATGATACCCTACACCACTTTGCTAATTTAGTTGAGCTCCACATAACAATTAAAAGTTTTTATGGGAGAATTTAATCATACACCCTATGATTATAATTATAATTTAAAATTCAAAGGACTAAATATGCCGAAACATTTGTTTCTTTTAAATTCGGTCTTGTATTGCCCATTTTGTGCAAAATTAATTTGAAATCAGATAAAGATATATATGGGAGCTATATCCAAATCTGAACCGATCTCGATCAAATTTGGCAAAGATATTTCTGAGCTGTATTTGATACATTTCCCTGAATATCGTTGTTACGGAGTGCATATTACGGCTGTGGGTAACAAATACAACAAATCGGATGAACAATATATATGGGAGCTATAGCTATATCTGAACCGATCTTCACCAAATGTGGCATACTACCTTCTAGGCTCAGATCGGTCGTATGTGCCATATTCCATCCCATTTGGGCAAATATTAGATGTTTGGTGCACAATAAAAAGTAAATCGGACGAAGTTATATATGGGAGCTATATCCAAATCTGAACCGATCTCGATAAAATTTAGCAAAAATATTTCTGAGCTGCATTTGATATATTTCCCCAAATATTGTTGTTACAGAGTGCATATTACGGCTGCGGAGGACAAAAATAACAAATCGGTAAACAATATATAGGGGAGCTATATCTGAACCGATTTCGATAAAATTTGGCATACTTATTTTCAGGCCTAATTTGGTTGTATGTGCAAAATTTCATACAATTCGGGCTGATATTACACGTTTGGTGCACAATAAAAGGCAAATCGGACGAAGATATATATGGGAGCTATATCTAAATTTTTACCGATTATCTCCAATTTCAATAGGGTTCGTCCTTGGTCCAAACAAATGTTGTTTGGAAAATTTAATCTCAATCGGATAATAAATGCGACCTGCATTTTGTTCACAAGAATACATGGACAGACGGACGGACGGACTGACATGCATAAATCAACTCAGTGATTCTATGCAGATCATCCAAAGGAACTATGGGTCTATCTCGTTTCCTTTTGCCTGTTACAAACAAATGCACAAAGACATAATACCCTGACCACCTTGTGGTGTAGGGTATAAAAATGAAGTAAACAATGAATTTGGTCAATTGGGGAGCTTCTCAAATTAAAAATTTCTAGACGTTAATTTTGCTGACCTAAAGTGATGTATGTCATTCAAAGTCCTTCTATAAAATTTAATTATTGAAATGGCGACCGAATGGGGAATAAACAGTTTTTGTAATAACTAAAAGAACTGATTTACCTAAAAAAAAAAAAACGCCCCAGTCTATTGAAAATTAATAAAATGAGCTATCTTCAAAAATGATTAAAATACTCCAGACAACCTGTCGACCATGCCTAAATTCTTTTTATGAGTACATTACTTATGACTCACACATATATTTGTATTCAAATGAGTACTGAATTCGTCACTGAGGCAAACTGCAATTGAACGCGTTTGATTATGAATGAAAATAACACTGGACAACACTAAACAAAAAAGTTAAATAAGTTTTCCTGTTATATGCGGTTCTTAGCTTCAGCACAGTTGATGTTCTCATATGAAATTCGAAAACCCATTCAAAATTTTTCTTCCTGGCCTTGGCAGTGATTAAAATTATATTGTTTCTGAGCGAAACCGTCTAACCGACATAAGTATTTTAAAGAGAATTGAAACTGATAAAATTTATTAGAACATTGTAGGAGTCATAGACGAATTGCGTATACCCTCTATGGGGAACAGGTTTCAGAAATTAATGGTATATTTTTCTTGATGGTCTGAAGTTGCTCCAAATGCACAAAAGACCTCGGATGAGTTGTGAACGCCATGATTAGACTTAAAGTCGCCTGCCCTCCGTGGCAACAGGTTTGCTGCACAGTGTAAATAAATAAGAATAAAAAATCTCAAGCAACACGTCATCATTTGAATACAAACCTAAAATACTCGTACACACGTATAAATATCTCTAGTAATTGAATATGAAACTCTGATGACTCAATAAATCTTGGAACATCAGTCTGAAATAAACATTTGGTGAGAACGAACATTTCTGCAGCGGATTTAATTTTTTTTATAAATATTTTCTTTTTGCAAAAAAATGAAATTTATTTCAATATTATTATTAGTATTGTTCGCTCTGATTCTGGCAAATATTGAGGTATGTACAGGCATGTATCCAGCGCCAGTGTATTATTCACTAATCTTTATTTGTAGGCAAAGCCGGTTTTAGAAGAGGAGGGCAAAAATGTTGTAACAGACACTGAACCCAATGACAGTGTGAGTGATGAGTCCAACCTAAATCTGGATGAACAGAATGTTAAAACTAATTATTATAAGTTATGCGATTGGTAATATGTTTTATTAGCGCAAATGTTGTTTTCTTAAAAAAAAACAGGCGTAACGTCATAAATCTAGAGTATTTTTAAATAACAAAATAAATATGGTATCCCAACAGATTCTGTTCTAAAATTTTTGTGTGAATTTCCACGCATGTGGATAGAAAGGGAATGCCAGAGAAGTACCGTTAAAAATTTGTATGTTTTCAATATAATGCGGAAAACAAACTGGAGCAATTGGATTTATTAGAAAATTATGGAGTTTTTCCAGCTTTGACGCTGAGGGGTAAATACCGAGGTAATTAAATAATATTTTTTAATTTTATTTAAGCATCATATGTACAGGGTGAGATAAAAAACTGCAAAATAGTCAAACGCCATCATTTTTACATATTTTTTTAAATTTTTTTTGAATGAAAACAAAAAATGTCGGAAATAACATCAAACTTTAAAATAAGTTTAGATTTGTTCGAATTGGTCACCTTTGGCACGAATTATGGCCTTCAAACGGCCAATGAAATCGTCACACGCTGCCCGAATGTTGCTCTGTGGTATTTCGGCTCATTCCCGACGAAGCGCTTGCTCGAGGTGATGGACACTTTGGTATTTTTTAGTGCCAACCTCGCTTTCCAAAATACTCCAGACACAATAATCAAGAGATTGGTATCCGAATAATTTGGTGGCCATTGTGCGCTGAAAATTAAGCAAGGAACCTCATTTTGTAACCATCTTGGGTGACGCGTGCTGAGTGCGATGGTGCTGAGTCCAGTTGGAATGTCCAAGGTCTGCAGCCAAAATGTTTCCGTACCCAAGGCTTTAATACAACCACCAGAATATTTTCGCGATAATATTCGGCATTTATTCTGAAGTCACGGTCGATAAATACGAGTAGAGCGACCATCGGCTGTTATGGCGGCCCACACTATCACCATGGCCGGCGCTTGAGTTCTGGTGGCCAAACGAAGGTGCACATTTTCAGCTGACCTCTTTAGCATGTAAACATGTTCATTTTGTTTGTTTACAAACTGCTGGACAACGAATGTTTTCTCAACGGAGAAAACCAAATTCGGTAGTTCACCACTTTTCCTTCTGTAAGTTTTTGTACTTTTTGGAATTTCAAGGGCTTTACCCCCGCTCATTTTTCAATACATGCCGAATGGAATATTGCAATATGTTCAGCTCACGAGCCATTTTTCGGCCAACACGACTCGGGGTTCGATCAAGTCGCTTCTTTACTTTTAGAACCATTCGAAGAGACTGAGACAACAAAAGATGCTGCCAGGTGTGGCAGAACCGGAGTATCCGTTCTGCAGCGAATATTGCTGCGGTGAGGATGTCATGGAAGCGCCGTCGACATCGACCAGACGACGTGCCACGCAAATGGGTATCAGTCGACGGTCTTTACAGCTAATTTTGGTACAAGATTTGAATATGTTTCCAGAATATGTTTAGAGTCCAGATGGTGCATCAGCTGTTAACTGCTAACCGCCAATCGGGTCAAACATACGCTCAAGGCATCCTTAATTACCACCAAGAAGAAGATGATTTTTCGTCAAAAATAATCATGAGTGATTAGGCCCATTTCCATTGTAGCGGGTACGTAACTAAGCAGGGGACTGAAAATCCTCGTATAACCCACGAAGAGCCATTAAACCCGCTCAAAGTCACTGTATGGCGTGCTGTTTTCGCTGGAGGAGTCATCGGACCTTTTTTCTTCGAAGACGTCGAGAGCCAAACGGTTACTGTGAGCTCTACAAAGAAATGACCAACGACTTCTTTTTGCCGCAACGTTCCAACAGGACGACACACACTGCACATGCCACAATTGATATGCTGAAGTATGAATTTCCCGGACGACAAATCTCCAGACTTCTTTTTGTGGGGCTTTTTGAAGTCGCGGGTTATATGTCAACAAACCTCAGACTTTTTCAGCTCTTAAAGACAATATCCGTTAAGAATGGGAGAACCTATCGTCGTAAGTTTTGGCCAAAGTGATGGAAAACGCCATAAAAAGGGCTCGAATGACAATAAAAGAATTCCACAAGATATTGTGACAAATAATAAATAAAAACCATCATGTTTCGTTCTCTAATTTTCGAATAATAACAACTTAAACGAATTTGCTCATTTCCAATTTATTGGTAGTTGTTGCACGTAAATGGTCTTCCTAGATCTGGAATCAATATTTCCCAAAGACCTATAATCTCTCAGAAGTGGGAAAAGATTAACATTTATTATTGGTTTTTGACTGAAACGCATCTATATGAGATACAGACATTTGACTATATTCTTCAACGAAATCAGCGTCAATGAAATAGTCAGAAGTGCGTCTTTCCTGTATTTGTGAATTCTCCAAAAAGTCACTGGAATGGACATTTTCGTATTTAGTCTACAAAATGTGCGTGAAGGTCGGGCGATAATTACGACCTGCTGACAATTTTGCAGTTTTTTGGTCCATTTCAACCCCTAAATATATGGCGATCATCTCCAAAAAGAGTAGGCTTCTATTCTGACCCTCATCTGATCCCCATGCAAAATTTCGTAAGGATCGGGCCATAAATGCGATCTGTATATGATATCCTGATATCCTAACTACTTAGTTTTGTTAGCTGTAGAAATATTACCAAATGTTTAATTCAAAATGAAAATATGCCAAAAATATGACAAAATTGAAAAAATATGAGAAAATTTTAGAAAATCAATATTTTTATCTTTAGAGAGATATTTTTAGATGTTTTTTCTTCCCTGCCAAGAGGCCATTCTGAATTAATGAGAACTCTCGAAATCAGTTCAGCCGTTCTCGACATATAAGAGATCTTTCAAGCATATCTTCTTTGATAGACATATATATCGCACATATTTTGCTATATATCCGATTTGTTGGATGTTAACATCAATGTAAAGATCAGAAGTAACCTTGTCATGGCTTTGTGATTATTCCGGGATTTAAAATATTCGCGGATTGATGAAAAATTTTGATTTTTTTCAACACAAAAGATATGGTCTATTTTACCCGCTAAATATTATCCGATGACCACCCGAAGGTTTCTTCCCTGCCCTAAACTCTAGCTACATGCGAAATTCCGCGTCGATTGGTCTATAATTGCAACCTGTATAGCTACTGCAAAATCCGACATTTTTTCAGTTTTTGGTCCATTTCAACCCCTAAATTTAATGCGATCATCTCCAAAAGAAATAGGGTTCTATTCTGACCCTAGCCCCACCTCCATTCTAAATTTTGTGAAGATCGGACCATAATTGCGACCTGTAGAGTGATTACAAATTAACATGGACAGACGGACGGACGGACATACATAGCTAGATCGACTCAGCTCGGCGAGCTAGGAAGATCCATATATACTTTCCTATGTGGGAAATCAATATTTCGAGGTGTTACATAATTTTTGGCCCAATCAAACTTATAATACCCCCAACACATAGTGTTGTAGGGTATAAAAACTAAAATAAAAATAATCTACAAGTTTTTAATTTTTTTTTCAAATGCAGCCAAAAAACATCGGAATTTTACTTTTGGCCCACCTTGTGAAAAAAAAAAACAATTATTGCATGCTTAAAAATGCATTTTTCCTAGATTCTTTGAAGTAAAACCATCATTCAGGTTATGTCATGGAATGACCCATCAATATATCTTTAATCGTAAGCTAAATTAAGCCAATCAAGAAGTTATCATAGCTCCTGGTTATAATCAATAATCAATCTAAAAGTAAATAATCGAAAAAATTGAATTATTAATTAAATAATGAACGATTAAAGGTGCAGTTGGTCAAGACAGAAGCAAATAAACATTAATCTCATGATCATTTCTTTCCTGCGGAACTTTTAAACTTTTTAGATGGCCACTAATGCCGCCAAAGTGTGATGGTCACCATTTCTCCCCCCAAAAAAAAAGGAAAAGAAAAATGAAAGGTAACAATCAAGGCGGCATTGTCTTTGTTGGCCGGCCAACAAAGCGGTTCATATTCAAAGTGATTATAACTCATGGATGAGTTATAATTGGAGTTGGTAATACAGCAACAGCAACAACAACAACTGCAAACAAATAAACAAACAAACCAGCAGACATTCAATTCCATGAAAATCACCTTTGAAAATGGTCAATTGGAAAACAAAAGAAGTGAGAGGGAGAGGGCCTATCCCCGTTTTGTGGACACATCGGATTAAAAGTTAATAGAGGCGTAAGCAAAGAAACCACAAAGTCGGTGTAATGATCAAAAGCCACCGATTGACAGGTTGCGACCACCAGCCAGCCAGACAGACGGACAGACAGGTCGTAGTCTGTCTGCCAAGATACCTCTTTCGGGGTGACAATGGTAAACATTTTAATGCATTATTTGCATTTTTAAATCTCATAATTGTCATCATCAACGCCAAACATCAGTCGGTAGTCAGGCAAATAAGTAACAGCATCTGCGGTAGCTGTGTGTAGTAGCACTTACTGGTCCCCGTCCCGCCTCTTTGTACATTAACTCATTTGGATGTGTAATTTTCTCAAAAACAAAAAAAAAACCAGTAAAGAAAGTCTAAAAGTCGGGCGGGCCGACTTTATGATACCCTACACCACTTTGCTAATTTAGTAGAGCTTCGCATAACAATTAAAAGTTTTTATGGGAGAATTCAATCATACACGATATGGTTATAATTATAATTTAAAGTTCAAAGGACTAAATATACCGAAACATTTGTATATTTTAAATTCGGAATTGTATTGCCCATTTGGTGCACAATTAATTTGAAATCGGATAAAGATATATATGGCAGCTATATCCAAATCTGAACCGATCTCGATAAAATTTGGCAAAGATATTTCTGAACTGTATTTGATATATTTCCCTGAATATCGTTGTTACGGAGTGCATATTACGGTTGTGGTTAACAAATATAACAAATCGGATGAATAATATATATGGAAGCTACAGCTATATCTGAACCGATCTTCACCAAATTTGACATACTAGCTTCTAGACTCAATTCGGTCGTAAGTGCCAAATTCCATTCCATTTGGACAAATATTAGACGTTTGGTGCACAATAAAAGGTAAATCGGACGAGGTTATATATGGGAGCTATATCCAAATCTGAACCGATCTCGATAAAATTTAG